AAAAAAAAAAAAAAAAGGATATTTCCATATATTTACTGGAAAGATAGCCCGCATTTATGCAAAATAAAGATTAATTCTAGGTCTTTTACTATAGAACTCTTCATGTCTAAAATGTTCTTTTTTTTGAGACAGGGTCTCACTCTGTTGCCCAGGCTAGAGTGCAGTTGCATCATAATAGCTCACTGCAACCTCAAATTCCTGGGCTCAAGGGATCCTCTTGCCTCAGCCTCCCGAGTAGCTAAGACTACAGGTACGCACCACCATCCATGCCTGGCTAACTTTTCTATTTTTTGCAAAGACGGAGGTCTCACTATGTTGATCAGGCTAGTTTTGAACTCCTGGCCTCTAGCAATCTTCCTGTCTCGGCCTCCCAAAGTGCTGGGATTACAGACATGAACCACCATCTCCGGCCTCAAATGTTCTTATTGGGTCCAGCAGACAGGTGCTATTTCTGAAAAAACTGTGGTTTATAGAATATTTTTCTCAGGACTAACACACGTGAGTATTTAAGAAGAATTGTTTTGAACTGTATTAAGTCTCAGCAATACCATATAAAAAGTATTGTAAAATAGCATCTAAGAGATTACTGAACTATGTCATTACATGCATGATTTTACTAAGAAAGTCTTTTAGTCACGGAAATAATTATCAGAGTAAAATACACATTTTTAAATAGCATTGATTCAGCCAATGAGTACTATTCTCAAATAATAGGTCATCAGACATCATCTTTATTAGTGTCTGGGAAAATTTCAAAGCTAAGATTAGAGGTCAAGTCATTACTTATGTGGCCTTTAAAAATAAAGTATCTAAGAGATACTAAATCCCTTGAGCAGAAAATAAAATTACTAGAAAGCAAGAACACTCAACAACAAAAACATGTTTTTCCACGGCCACATCCCTTGAGGTGGCTATATTGGACTGTGCCAGTGTCAAAGGCCAGAGAGAGTCCACCAAAGCCGGCCAACCTAAACCTAAGGACATCTCAGCCATGCGAGTTTTAAACAAGGATGAGTGCTGGGTAAACTCAAATGTTTACCTCAAAGAGTAGTTAACATAGTCAAAATTCAAACATAAAAACTATGAAAAGGTTGCTTTTGGCCTCAATTCAAAAAATGACGAAGAGCCAAGGCGGGCGGATCGTTTGAGCTCAGGAGTTCGAGACCAGCCTGAGCAAGAGTGAGACCCTGTCTCTACTAAAAATAGAAAGAAATTAAATGGACAACCAAAAATATATAGAAAAAATTAGTCGGGCATGGTGGCACATGCCTGTAGTCCCAGCTACTCGGGAGGCTGAGGCAGTAGGATTGCTTGAGTCCAGGAGTTTGAGGTTTCTGTGAGCTAGGCTGATGCCACGGCACTCACTCTAGCCAGGGCAAAAAAGGGATACCTTTTTTCAAAAAAAAAAAAAAAAAAAAGTAGATTCCACTTTCTTATTTAAGAAGGGAATCAGGCCACGTGTGTGGCACCTGCCTGTAGTCCCAGCTATTCAAGAGGCTGAAGTGGGGGGATCACTTGAGCCCTAGAGTTCAAGTTCAATCTGGGCAACATAGTGAAGGAAATCCAAGTAGACGCATAGATAAAAGAAAAATAATCATAAAGGAATAAAAATCTATCACAGGCTAAGAGAAAAGTCAACATACAAACAATAAAAATCCCCTATAATTTTTATTTTTCAGTATCTGATTCAACTTTTATCTAGATATTTTTCAACAATATTTGTAAAGTAGAGCTCCCCTTGCTCTTTTCTTTTTTTCTTTTGGTAACAGCAGTAACTCATGACCTTTGAAAGTCACAATCAAGTACTGTGTTAGGATCAATGCATTAGTGTTTATATGATTTCCTCACACAAAAAGCACTGTATAAGCCCTAGTATCTTTTATTATTTCCAGAGTGTATAATACCTCTGAAAAGCTCAAAATATACAAGTGGAAAATTTCAACTTTTTCCACTTTACAGTCAGGCACATTATTTACCACTGATGAGGGGGAAATATGGGGAAGCTTTAAAAATTAACACTGAATCTGTTTTGTGACTTTTTGTTCATAATTCTTGCTGCAGGGAAAGGAAGAACAAACTTTATACCCTCAAGTCAGTGAAATGAAATATTTCCCTTCCACTGGAACCAAGGAAAAACCCTAACTCTTTCAGGATTGTCTAATTAGGCTAAAATAGGTTTCAATTAAAGATTACAATTAATTAAGCAAGCTCTTTCTTCTCTTTGCACTTACTCAGAGTTCAGCAACAAAGAATTAAACATCTTCTCTTAACAAAAAGCCAAACAAGAAAACACATAAAGGTAGCAATATACAGCTTCCTCTGCCAACGCCACAAAAACAACATTGTGCATAGGTGGGTTCTTACCAAGAGGGTGTGTTATACATAAAAGACAAGTAAAAACAGACCAAAAAGGGCAAATAGCTATGCCCTGACACCTGGGAAGAAACTGCTCTTTCCCCTCTTCATGAATATACCTTGCCACACACATTAACACGATCTGATGAACTTCCCTTTCACTGTATTGAATATTACACCGATGGGCCGGGCGCGGTGGCTCACGCCTGTAATCCTAGCACTCTAGGAGGCCGAGACTGGCAGATTGTTTGAGCTCAGGAGTTCGAAACCAGCCTGAGCAAGAGCGAGACCCTGTCTCTACTAAAAAATAGAAAGAAATTAATCAGACAAC